GTGGTGTAAAGCACGCCGCCACTGGACTCTAAGCCGTGGAGACGTGTTCTCTGGAGGGACCAATCACAGTTCTCTGTCTGGCAATCCAATGGAGGTGTCTGGGTTTGGCGGTTGCCAGGAGAACGGTACTTGCCTGACTGCATTGTGCCAAGTGTAAAGTTTGGTGGAGGGGGGATTATGATGTGGGGTTGTTTTTCAGGGGTTGGTTTTGGCCCCCTAGTTCCAGTGAAGGGAACTCTTAAGGCGACATTTTGGACAATTTCACGCTCCCAACTTTGTGGGAGGAGTTTGGGGATGCCCCTTCCTGTTCCAACATGACTGCACACCAGTGCACAAAGCAAGGTCCATAAAGACATGGAGGAGCCAGTTTGGGGTGGAGGAACTTGACTGGCCTGCACAGAGTCCTGACCTCAACCCCATAGAACACTTTGGGATGAATTAGAGCGGAGACTGTGAGCCAGGCCTCCTCCCCGACATCAGTGCCTGACCTGACAAATGTGCTTCTGGAAGAATGGTCCAACCTTCCCATAGACACCCTCCTAAACCTTGTGGACGGCCTTCCCAGAAGAGTTGAAGCTGTTATAGCTGCAAAGGGCGGGGCCAACCCGATATTGAAGCCTACGGACTAAGACTGGGGGGGCATTAAAGGTCATGTGTGTGGAAAGGCAGGCGACCCAATACTTTTGACAATAAAGTGTAATATATTTATCTCCTTGATGCAGCATCGGTGTGTTGCTGCAGCTGTCCCCCGCCAGCTCTAAGCCTGAGAACTGAGTGATCACATGACATTTGATCATACAATTCTTGGTTTTTGCTGAGCAGAAAGCAGTGACTGTCTCTGCTTTGCCCCTCCAGCACCCACTGCATGCTTAGAGGCTGAGCTGGCTGCAAGTTAAGCATCTGGGTGCATCTTGACATTATTGTCGGGATCCTTCTAGAGCCTGGGACAGCTCTGTGATGTCAGCCAACAGCAGTTTTTAGCTTGCTGTTGGCTGATTCTGGGTCACAGGAGAACAAAAGTAAGTGCACTCCCGTAACCAAGAAGAGACGGATGCCCCAAAAAGCTTTGGTCACACTTTTATTTTACAGTGGACCTGTCATTGGAATTATTTCACCATGTTAAGTGCTTTCCTACTACATATTGTGTCATTGTAATACTTCCAGGTAGCTATTACCTCTCACAGAGATCAAAGTACTCCCCCTAACAATGCTTTCAACTGAATTTCTCTCCAGAAGGACAGAGCCATCTATGTTCAGGCATCATCTATGGTCACCATCTATATCTGGGACCTTTTGGTGTTGATTCAAAACTGACACAATCGCGTAATGTGCACTTCTTAGCCGTGTTCACAAATGTCTGACACAAATCAGGCCCTCCTTCAGCATCTCGTCTAATGACTTGCTACAAAAGTACATTGTGTGCAGTCTGATCACTGGGGACAGAGAAGACTGAGGAAATGTTTCCTTCTGCCCGCAGCAGACTGATGACAGCATCCTCGCCTAGACACAGTAACTAGAATTTCTAAAAACAAAAGATGGAGCTTTAAAAAAAAAAAAAGCTGTCTATTGTGGCATGTCTAGATTTATTAATACGGACTTGTAAAATTACTGATGGGTCCCTTTTAATAAAACGTGTGCCCTCTATGCCTCTTCATTCTTTTAGCCTTGTTTTGTAGAAATGCTTCCTCACCGCTCTTCACATTCCTGTCATGTTCTTCCTGGAAGGATTAAAAGTCACCTCAGATAGCATAAGTGACAGATGTCTGGCTTTCCTATGCCTGTAATTAGCATATTGTAATTAATGAACCTGCACCTGATCTTTATAAAGTGACTTTCAATGGAAAACGTCGCCATGCTGCTGCTTCAAGGAATAAACAATGTTTGAGAGCGCGGCTTTGAATGGAGCACTAAAGAATACATCATTTAAGCATTGAAGAAAAATACAAACGTTCTGTTGATGGATCTCATACACTTTCAGTGGACGCTCCTCCATAAAATCAGTATATCTGGGCATACGGTAGATTTTTTGCATATAGTTCATGTTATCCACAGCAAACGTATACAGCATTGCCTGAGGTAGTGTGACTCTTCACATGGTTACATAGTTAGTCTGGCTGAAAAAAGACAAAAGTCCATCCAGATCAACCATTAATTCACAAACTCGTGCTTCAAGTCTTACGTCTCCATGTGTCATATCTTATATCTCCATGTGTCCATATCTTACGTCTCCATGTGTCATATCTTATATCTCCATGTGTCATATCTTATGTCTCTGTCATATCGTCTCCATGTGTCATATCTTATATCTCCATGTGTCATATCTTATATCTCCACGTGTCATATTTATGTCTCCATGTGTCATATCTTATATCTCCACGTGTCATATCTTATATCTCCCATGTGTCCATATCTTATATCTCCATGTGTCATATCTTATATCTCCATGTGTCGTATCTTACGTCTCCATGTGTCATATCTTATGTCTCCATGTGTCATATCTTACGTCTCCATGTGTCGTATCTTACGTCTCCATGTGTCATATCTTATATCTCCATGTGTCATATCTTACGTCTCCATGTGTCATATCTTATATCTCCATGTGTCGTATCTTATGTCTCCATGTGTCATATCTTACGTCTCCATGTGTCATATCTTATACGTCTCCATGTGTCATATCTTACGTCTCCATGTGTCATATCTTACGTCTCCACGTGTCGTATCTTACGTCCATGTGTCATATCTTACGTCTCCACGTGTCATATCTTACGTCTCCATGTGTCATATCTTATATCTCCATGTGTCATATCTTACGTCTCCATGTGTCCTATCTTATATCTCCATGTGTCCTATCTTACGTCTCCATGTGTCATATCTTCGTCTCGTCTCCATGTGTCATATCTTACGTCTACGTCTCCATGTGTCGTATCTTACGTCTCCATGTGTCATATCTTACGTCTCCATGTGTCATATCTTACGTCTCCATGTGTCGTATCTTATATCTCCATGTGTCGTATCTTACGTCTCCATGTGTCATATCTTACGTCTCCATGTGTCGTATCTTACGTCTCCATGTGTCGTATCTTACGTCTCCACGTGTGTCATATCTTATATCTCCATGTGTCATATCTTATGTCTCCATGTGTCATATCTTTATCCACGTGTCGTATCTTCGTCCGTGTGTCGTATCTTACGTCTCCGTGTGTCATATCTTATGTCTCCATGTGTCATATCTTACGTCTCCGTGTGTCATATCTTACGTCTCCGTGTGTCATATCTTATGTCCTATCTTACGTCTCCATGTGTCATATCTTTACGTCTCCATGTGTCCTATCTTATATCTCCATGTGTCCTATCTTACGTCTCCATGTGTCGTATCTTACGTCTCCATGTGTCGTCTCTTACGTCTTATATCTACGTCTCCATGTGTCCTATCTTATATCTCCATGTGTCCTATCTTATATCTCCATGTGTCGTATCTTACGTCTCCATGTGTCCTATCTTACGTCTCCATGTGTCCTATCTTAAGTCTCCATGTGTCATATCTTACGTCTCCATGTGTCCTATCTTACGTCTCCATGTGTCTTACGTCTCTTACGTCTCCATGTGTCCTATCTTACGTCTCCATGTGTCCTATCTTACGTCTCCATGTGTCCTATCTTACGTCTCCATGTGTCCATATCTTACGTCTCCATGTGTCTATCTTACGTCTCCATGTGTCATATCTTACGTCTCCATGTGTCCTATCTTACGTCTCCATGTGTCCTATCTTAAGTCTCCATGTGTCCTCTCTTACGTCTCCATGTGTCCTATCTTACGTCTCCATGTGTCCTATCTTACGTCTCCATGTGTCCTATCTTACGTCTCCATGTGTCCTATCTTACGTCTCCATGTGTCATTTCTTATGTCTCCATGTGTCATATCTTACGTGTCTTTGTGTCATATCTTATGTCTCCACGTGTCATATTTTATATCTCCATGTATCATATCTTATATCTCCATGTATCATATCTTATATCTCCATGTATCATATCTTACATCTCCATGTGTCATATCTTATATGTCCACGAGTTTGTGAAAAGGTGTACTGACCAAAGCCTAGTACACACGGGCCGATGTCGGTCGGCATCGGCCAGGCCAACAGAAACCAGTCGACATTCGGCCCATGTGCACGGCAGCCGGTTCAACAGAAGCCGTCAAAAGGGCATGACCAAAAAAAGGTCTGCTGATCGGCTCCTGAGCCATTGGCTGAGAGTGTTGACCGGAGTGTTCTGGCAAGGGGACCATCCCCTCTTCAGGACACAATAGCACAGCGGGGGACATCGCTGTATTAACATCACATAGTTAGTACAGCAGCTCCTCCTGAGCTGTCAGGTTTTTGCATTTAGCCCGTTGGGGTTGAACAAAAAAACAACTAGTAGTGTGTAGTAGGTTTAAGGTGGCCAGTCTCAACCAGGGTTCCTTGAGTGAGTTATGGCCGATTTACCTCTCATTTGATGGTGTCTGTATAGTTCAGGGGCCAATGGCACTTGACAAAGCCAGCAGTGTGACACCATTGATCCTGTAACTGTCTATAAGGGGGTATTCTTCCACCTGGCATTAATGTACAGAGCATTCTTCCCAACGACTACACATGTAAGGGTTATTCTTCCCACTGACCCCCAATGTAAAGAACATTCTCCCCCACTGACCACCAATGTAAGGAACATCCTCCCCACTGACCACCAATGTAAGGAACATTCTCCCCACTGACCACCAATGTAAGGGACATTCTTCCCACTGACCACCAATGTAAGTAAAATTCTCCCCACTGACCCCCAATGTAAGGGACATTCTTCCCCTGATCACCAATGTAAGGAACATTCTCCCCACTGACCACCAATGTAAGAAACATTCTTCCCCCTGACCCCAATGTAAGGAATATCCACCCCACTGACCACCAATGTAAGGAACATTCTCCCCACTGACCACCAATGTAAGGAGAATTCTTCCCACTGACCACCAATGTAAGGAAACATCCTCCCCACTGACCACCAATGTAAGGAAACATTCCCCCACTGACCACCAATGTAAGGAACATTCTCCCACTGACCCCCAATGTAAGAAACATTCCCCCACTGACCCCCAATGTAAGGGACATTCTTCCCTCTGACCACCAATGTAAGGGACATTCTTTGCACTAACCACCAATTTAAGGGACATTCTTCGCACTGACCACCAGTGTAAGGAGCATTTTTCCCACTGACCCCCAATGTAAGGGGCATTCTTCCCACTGACCACCAATGTAAGGGACATTCTTCTCACTGACCACCAATGTAAGGGACATTCTTCTCACTGATCACCAATGTAAGGAACATTCTTCCCACTGACCACCAATGTAAGGAACATTCTTCTCACTGACCACCAATGTAAGGGACATTCTTTGCACTAACCACCAATTTAAGGGACATTCTTCGAACTGACCACGAATGTAAGGAGCATTCTTCCCACTGATCACCAATGTAAGGGACATTCTTCCCACAGACCACCAATATAAGGGACATTCTTCCCACTGATCACCAATGTAAGGGACATTCTTCCCACTGACCCCCAATGTAAGGAGCATTCTTCCCACTGACCCCCAATGTAAGGGACATTCTTCCCACTGACCCCCAATGTAAGGAGCATTCTTACCACTGACCCCCAATGTAAGGGACATTCTTCTCACTGACCACCAATGTAAGGGACATTCTTCCCACTGACCACCATTGTAAGGAGCATTCTTCCCACTGACCTCCAATGATTGGGTTTTGACAGACCTGAAAATTATTTTAGCGGTTCCTCTGGTGTAAAATTGTTGATAAATGCTGGCCTAAGGCAATGTTGTATAGGTTGTTGTGGTAAAAAAAAAAAAAAATGAATTAATGCACTGATATGCTGATTGTAGGAACATATGCCCACTGAAATTGAGGGGTCCATCAAAAAAACCTTTGTTATATGTGATGCTTATATTATATATTTTTGGTGCTACATTCAACATCCCGCTCCAAATATTCAGTTTAGTCACCATTTGTTGGGATAATGGCACTGGAAGAAATGATAATTTATTAGAATTCTACTAATCAAGTCTTTCAAGTAATATGTCACCATTCAACACTGTTCATGGCATAAATAGTGCAGTCACACAGAGGCTTTAACTAGGTCCAAGGACTGGATGGGGCTCCTGGGAGACCCTAAATGTGATCCTGAATGGCCACATGTGCAAGCTTTAATAAACTACGTCAGTAGCAGCCTGTAATACCCCTTTATTACCAGAACATGTTTGCAGTTTTCAGTGCTGTAATAGTTTGACTGACGATTGCCTGGTCATTCAGCACAGCTAAAGATCTCTTTTTAGTGGTTTAATAACTACTGGGTTTTTGTGTTTTTTTTAAGGAAAAAAAGACCATCATTTTAAAAAAAATAACTTTCCTTTTCTGGGAAATTCAAGGAAAATTCAATTATTACTGGCAGGAATGTACAAGCACCTCCAAAATGACCCCTTTTTTGGAATGTCACTATTGATCATACAGCGTTCACATGGTACAGAGCCGCTTAAAGTGGAGCTCCAACCCAAAAGGGGAAGTTCCGCTTTAAGGACTGCTCCCCCTCCCCATTAGGATTGGCACCTTTGGGGAGACGGTACCTGAATTTGACAGGTACCCGCTCCCACTTCCGGTTCCAATCACCTAGGCGATCGGAAGCGGAAGGTGTCCTCCCTCCCTGTAGTTTTTTGGGACACCTGACAGGTCCCAGAAGACTACGGGGCCAGTCATGAAGCGCAGCTCTGCTCACACATGTGGGGTACCCCGGCTGTGAAGCCGCAAGCTATCACAGCTGGGTGCCCACACTGAAGATGCCGGCCTCCTGGAATACAGGACGGTCTGTGAAATGAGCTGCGGGGGACACACCACGGGACCGAGGGACAGGTAAGTGGCTGTTTTTTAAAAGTCAGCAGCTACAGTCTTTGTAGCTACTGACTTTTATTTTTTGATAGGTTGAGTGGAATTCCGCTTAAATTGGTTCTGTACTCTGTATGTGACCCGAGCTATCATTGGATGGCTCAGTTCATAGCCATTTATGGGCACACTGGCTGTCCAAGGGCAAATTCTGCATTTATAAACAGCACTGCAGGAATAAGTTCCCTTTCAGACGGGCCTATCGATCAGGTCCGCTTGTCAGGAGAACCGATCGATTCATCCCTATGGACTTGTGTTCGTTTACACATGCCTATCTCCAGGTCAGATCAATCCCATAAAAAAAAAAAAAAAAAAAAAAACAGGAGAGGATTTCATCCTCTTCCATTTAGGTGAAGCAGATCAGAGGTAGCTGGATGTAAACGAACAGCAGAGTCTGTTTACTCCCAGCCACCCATAGAAAAGAGCGGGCTCTGCAGGCGTCAGATGTGTCATCCGCTCACTCTGCTCCAATCAGCAGAAGATCAGCTCACATATCTCCTTCACAGCCATTTATGGGCTCACTGGCCGTCCAAGGGAAAATTCTGCAGTGCCGTTTATAAACAGCACTGCAGGAATATGCTCCCTCTCGGACGGGCCTACCGATCAGGTCCGCCTGTCAGTTTTTCAGGCGGACCTCATCTGAAAAGTCCATTCATCCCTATGGACTTGTGTCCGTTTACACCCGCCTATCTCCAGGTCAGATCAATCCCACAAAAAAAAAAAAACGAAGCAAGAGAGGATTCCATCCTCTTCCGTTTAGGTGAAGCAGATCGGAGGTAGCTGGATGTAAACGAACAGCAGAGTCCATTTACTCCCAGCTACCCATAGAAAAGAGCGGGCTCTGCAGGTGTCAGATGTGTCATCCGCTCACTCTGCTCCAATCAACAGAAGATCAGTTCACAGTTCCCCTGCTGATCGCAATGGAGTTTTTCCCGTGTGAAAGGGGCCCAAGTGTCCACCATTTTGCACTTCAGAAATGGAGGTAGGGAAGCAGTTAAGCAGGATTAATGTGAATCAATGTATCTTTATGTATCTAAATCAAACTGTTTTTGGTTTAGACATTTTCAGCCCCACCGTTCTATAAAATAGCAGCTTTGGTGCACTTGCCCTTTAAAATTGAACTCAGGAATAATCGAATATTGCCTAAGTCCATTCATCGTTTGTATTCTTCCTGGAATCTCGGTGTTTTGTGTATTTCTTCCAGATCTGTACATTAATCCAGAGTGGGACTTCCTGTAATAAAGACCGCTCACTGCTGTACTCTCTCTCCTTGAGCAGGGTGACTGGTCTTGTCCCTGCCCCCTCCTGTAGTTTTCTGTAGGCGGCCTGTAGTGGGTGGAGCCTGTTGAGCCCCTTCCACTGCTCTTCTCTCTCTCCTTGTGCAGGGTGACTGGTCTTGTCCCCACCCCCTCCTGTAGTTTTCTACAGCCAGCCTGTAGTGGGTGGAGCCTGCTGTGCCCCTCCCACTGCTCTGCTCTCTCTCTTCTTGTTCAGGGTGACTGGTCTTGTCCCTGCCACCTCCTGTGCTTTTCTACAGCCAGCCTGTAGTGGGTGGAGCCTGTTGAGTCCCTTCCACATCTCTGCTCTATCTCTCCTTGTGCAGGGTGACTGGTCTTGTCCCCGCCCCCCTCATGTAGTTTTCTACAGCTAGCCTGTAGTGGGTGGAGCCTGCTGTGCCCCTCCCACTGCTCTGCTCTCTTTCTTCTTGTGCAAGGTGACTGGTCTTGTCCCTGCCCCCTCCTGTGCTTTTCTGCAGCCAGCCTGTAGTGGGTGGAGCCTGTTGAGCCCCTTTCACATCTTTGCTCTCTCTCTCCTTGTGCAGGGTGACTGGTCTTGTCCCCGCCCCCTCATGTAGTTTTCTACAGCCAGCCTGTAGTGGGTGGAGCCTGCGGTGCCCCTCCCACTGCTCTGCTCTCTCTCTTCTTGTGCAGGGTGACTGGTCTTGTCCCTGCCCCCTCCTGTGCTTTTCTACAGCCAGCCTGTAGTGGGTGGAGCCTTTTGAGCCCCTTCCACATCTCTGCTCTCTCCTTGTGCAGGGTGACTGGTCTTGTCCCCGCCCCCTCATGTAGTTTTCTACAGCCAGCCTGTAGTGGGTGGAGCCTGCTGGGTCCCTCCTACCGCTCTGCTCTCTGCATAGGCTGTTTACAACACAGTGATGATGTCACAGCCACTTTTTCAAGGTAATATATAGGTTTGCAAATGCATTTAGTGCACACAAAGTGGATTTATATCCATTGTGGTTATTGAGGAATATATTACGTGAAGGGTTGTTATGCCCGGAGTTCAGCTTTAACACAATTTTTATTTAAATTGGATTTTTCTAAATCAAATTTGTATCCGATTCACTGCGGGGACTCCCTCCACGTCCTACCAAAGTCCTCCAAATCTCACGACCGCCTGACACATTCATCATTTATTGTCCGGCTCTGAAGTGGTGATTTTTAAAAATGAGCGGCGCTTCATTTTTAATTTACAGTTAAGTGGCAGGACGCGGGCTGTTTCGGCTACTTGCAGTGTGTAATAGCAGGGCTCGTTAGCAGTTAATGACTTGCTTGATCGTTAGGAATGAGAAGTTTTGGATCATTAACGCTTACAGTGGAATTATCACCAATATAAACTGGACCCATATTAACGAATAATAAACCAGCAAAATCGTAAAGGCTCGTGAACAAACTTCCTAATAGCTCCCTAAATCCTCTGGGACACTTTACACACCAATTTGTTTCCTCTTTCTGTGTTTCAGAAAGCAGACGACCGGGAGAAGCGGCAAGAAGCCCATCGCTTCCATTTCGATGCCATGTGAAGCCTCGGAAAAAGCTTTCCTCTGTGAACAAAGGCTTGAAAGTGGTTTCCCTGGAAAGAGTTCATCTCTGTTCACTTACTGATGAAGACGCAGTTCAGCGATTTACGACCTTCAGTTCATTAACTTCCATGGGATGGCTGAGGGCTGTGTGAATTCTGAGATCTTTTCTGAAATCAGCACCTATTTTGGTCATTTTTTTTTTCATTGGTCATTTATGAGAAGTCTTCACACACCGTACAGAGCCCTTCATTCTGAAAGTGATGGCAGCCTCAGCTGACTCCGTCAAGGCCGTGCCTCCCAATGCATTTCACCCCACCCCAGGGCCTAATCATGGACCTCAATTATTAAGCCCCGGACAGGGCAAAACATGTTGGGAGGGTGTGGTTTTGAGTTAGCTGTGGCTGCTGTCACTTCCAGAAGAAACAACTCTGTGCTGCGTGCGATTACCTGAATACTTCTCATGATGCTTCTACTGTCTGCAGACAGTTGTTCAACCTGCACCCACAGCAGGATCCATCAAATAGGGCTGTGAATGCCTGAGCAGAGAGCCGAAGCTTTACTTTGGTTCACAATGGGCATTTATGTTTGGACCTTCACTGACAACCATCTTAGCCCTAGAGGTTTTAGATTAAGACTCTGCATTCGCTTAGCCCTCCTCTTTCCCAATGAAGTTAAAACTTAATGTAACCCCCTCCCCATCCTGCTGACTTACAGTAATCAATAGTAGGAAAAGCCTGTAAAATGTTTTCGGCAGCAGATGCTTCCATGAGATTCCACTCCATCCAGTCACATGAGCAGTTGCCTAGGCATAGGTAACATCATCTCAGCCAAAATGGCTTAAGA